TTGCTTCGCTTTTCACATTTGCGTCGAAAATACTAGACCCTTCTCTGTACGGGACAGGAAACATGAATAACGCAAGAGATCTATACTGTAAAGGAGGTAGAGCTGAGGAGATAGCAATCAAATAAAGCATAATAGGAAATTTAAGCCATAGACTGGGTCCCTACACCTCTCTCACAACAACTCATAATCCTTCTTCCAACCACGCTACCGAATGCCCAGAAACTCAAAAGGGAATGGTATATATACATTCCTACCCCATAGGGCTTTCTTCCTCTAACAAATCACAACAGAGGGTATATTGCAAGTCCAATTTTCAGAACTAGCCCAGATGAAAGGGAAAACCGGCATTGTCGGTAGGACAGTACCGTGCCCTCAAGAGATGTTTTGAGTGGTGTAGGATATTCCTTTGTTCCAGCGGTAGCTTTACCACTCCTGTGTGGCCACTTCGAGCAGCCCGTGCGGGTGGGTGGTGCAGGTGGGTGGTGCTCGTGCAATCACTCCTACCGATACCGTATTGCTCCTTCTCTCAAAAACAGCAGTAATTTCGACAGCTCCGATGCCTGTAGAATTTCGAAAACATCATTGCCTGCACAGCAGGTGTCGGGACCCAATTCGTGCTCTAGAAGCAACCGGTGGGTGAGTGTTCATAACACAGTTCCAAGAGCCCTAGCGCACCGATTGTGCATGACCCGAGAGTTTATTTCTAGCGCGGATCTCCCAATATACAAAAGGACACCCGGGGGGGAGCCACTTTAAGGGCAGCGGAGGGCTCGGGCGAGAGGTCGTTGGGGTGCAGGAGATTGGGATTGGTCAGGCGTGTTGCCGCCACTTTCGAATGGGCTCTGCCAAAAATAACCTGAGCAGGTATCATACGGAAATATTCTCGGAGGGCAAAGTGGATCAACCGGACATCCGAATCTTGACTTCTCACTACCCTGCGCTATAATCCTCTCTAGAATTGCACGGTAGGCATCACCCAAGCCCAGGCCATTCGTGATATCCGTCTTCAGACGCTCGCCAGTTACGCCGGGGGTTGTCTCCTCATCCAGCCTAGCACGATGACATATAATTATACCATCTTCACCATGACTTATAGATGCAGTGGTAGCTCTTGCCGTAGAGCGCTTTCCGACTTCACCTCGGATTTTCAGCCTTCCAGTCAGAAATATCCGAGCGCCTGGCGACTCCTGGAAAATTTCTCCAGGTGAATCGAGCCGATAATACCGGCACACATTCACCTAGGGTGTCAATGCATATAATGGTACGCTGTGAGCACGCAACTGTCTCAACCATCCTGACAATTTCTGAAACTCGTCTGTTACCAGAAGCCATTCTCCCACGTTTCCGATACGGCAAGTTCAAACGCCCTGTTGCCGTATGCGAGTGTTGAGCAGAGGTAACCAAGCTAGAATTTCAGATCGATCATCGGGGGAAGTAAAGTTGTCCGACAAGTTAATACTCGTAATGAAAGAACGGAGTGCATATGATCACTGGAAGGTTGAGAAATTCCCGCTGGTTGAAATACTACAAACGACGGGCTCTTGAGCGTTGACTCTAGTTGATAAGAATCCCCAAGAGCTGAGAAAAGGACAGTTATTGTGGAGCCTTATGCGCTGCAAAAGGTCCGGTGGATCCACAAGGGATTAGTGAACCCGATATCAGGTGCCATGTCCATGTCAAAAAAAAGGCTCAATTCCTCCCTCTCTGCTCCGTAACGTTCTTCCGCGTCAAAACGCGCTTGATAGTTCGGAGGGAGACGCCGGGGACCACTTCGTTGCGCAGTTCGGGCAGTGTTCGGTGGCGTCCCCTCACAGATTCCCTAACTGGGCGGCGGTGGGTCCTAGCATCAATAATCTTCGGTCTGCCAGGTGATGGGAGGTTTTCCACATGACCCCTCCCTTGATATCGGTTGTGGAAATCCCGAACCGTGCTTCCAGGGCTTAGGAGCCTTCCGATTTCAGAGAACGAAGATTTCCTCTCCTTCAGAGCGATGATTCGTTTTTTCTCATCGCCCATGCGGCGGCCGCTCTTCTCTGAAGGCATGGTTATGGTGTGGTTGACGATGGTGGTACGGTGGAGTTTGTCGGTAGTTTTTCTGCAAGCGCCTATCGAGGAAACGTTTTCGTCCAGCGCCCAGCCGTAAAAGCTGCTAAAACTGACTACTGCGGCTAGCCCGGTACGGGTACTTATACCAGTAAATCTCCAGATTCGGAAACAACGGCCCCTGAGAAGTAGAAGTCCTTTCCCGACGCGGTATTAGACCCGTCCCCCGGAGATGTTGAATCTCGTCGACTCGTTTTCGCAATTACAATGTGATGCGGCACTAATTCCCGCTGATAATCTGAGTGTAGATTTTACAGTAATTACGATATAGTACAATACCAGTGCATCACACCGTGAAGCAACTTGGACTACCGCCCAGATCACAAGACTCTTTAATAACGCTAGCTTAGTTGAATGCTAGAATAAGGATTCCCGCGATCTCATACTCGCTTCCCGGGGGGGGGGGGTACGGCGAACCAGCAGTTCCATTTTCCAACCCCATCGATGCCTCCGAATGCATTACCCCACATTCCCTCAAGTGCAGCTGGAGGCATAAACTCTTAGACACCAGCCTGAGGTCGGGGATGTCCCAGTGGTCAAGAGCGACAATCCATTCCGCCCGGGAATAGCTGATAATGGTTAGTCAGTATAGGATTTTCTATCGCTCTGGCTAATTTCTTCCACTAACCTAAAAGGAGGGAAAGGTGGGTCTTCTCCCCCGAAATTCATCCAGCAGCTCTCTTAGCGGGTTAACAGCATTGTCTTGAATAACCGCCCTGGCACTTGTATGGTTTAAAGGGTTGATTTTTCCTACTTTTTTTCTATACACAAGGTAACTAACGTGATAACACGATACTTGCTTAATAGAGATGCTAGTGTATATGCAGCTATATGCAAAACAACATGCAATTCGAAAGGCATGGAGCTCTCGAGCCACATTCGGCACAGGCATCATAACTATCTCTCCCTCAAGCTCTCTGTTGGGAATCGATTGACCTCTGATGGAAAAGAACTCACTAAAATTCGCACGGCGTTAGTAGAAGTCTAGTCAGGGATAGCACCAACACATGGATGGGGGCCCTGGGTTGTTCAGAGAGCAACTATTTGCACACATACCTTATCTAACAATTCCTACCCATTATGTGGCTAGTGAAGAGGATCTCCAAAACCAGACTTCTAGGTCCGCAGAGAAACAATATAGGTCCGCATGACGTTAGCAAAAACCTATGCAAGAGCAATACGATGCTACCGCGCTCCCGGGGAGCCAGGACGATCCAGAGAGTAGCTGTTTGCGTTTACACCCCAATCGGACAACTTCACTATCTCCACCCTAGCTCAGAGGAAACCCGGGACTGGACCTCAGTGGCTAGAACTTCGAGATCCCTTGAGAAACGATATCGGCTCGCACGGCGTTAGCAAGAAGTCTAGGCAAGGGCAAACCTAACGAACTGGGGACCCATGATGGTCCATAAAGCAACTGTGATAGTTGCGCATATACCTTATGAGAGGCGCCCTATGGGATGCTACTGTGGTGCAGCACCACCAGCGAAGGCGCACTGAGCTCAAACCTCAAGCTCCCCAGAGAAATAATAGAGGTCCGCATGACGTTAGCAAAATCTAAGCAAGGACAATGCTAACGTACACGGGGATCCCGGACGATCCAAAGAGCAACTATTTACGTACATACCTTATGCGAGCATCTTTACCACCCTCACCACCAGTCAAGATATCCGATATTGGTCCCAGAGTGATCCATCCTAGAGAAAGAGTATTGGCCCGCATGGCGTTAGCAAGGTGTCTAAGCAAGGACAACCGTAACGC